AAACAGCACAATAGTATGACTGTTGCGTTTTTTAACGATGTATTGTTTTTATGTGTGTACTTTGTCTTGTACTTCCCTCCCCCTGGATTGTGAGCCGCCCTGAGTCCCCTCAGGGAAAAGGGCGGCATATAAATAAAGTTAAAACTAAAACTAAACTAAGTTAAACTAAACTATTGTGCTGTTTCACAGGATTTAAATAAAAATAAAGCATGCATTGGAAAAAGGCAGGTGCCATATTCTGTTTTCACTTTTGTGATTGGACCAAAAGGAAGGAAGGTGTACAGGAAATTCTACAGTTGGTCAAAAACATCAACAAATCTGAGTTTCTTCTATATGCAGAACAATATTTTTTTTTCCCAACTCGATAAAACAATGTTTTGAAATGCAACTGTAAACTACTACTTTGAGATTTAAAAAATCCTCTCTTCCAAATGCACATTGCCACAAAATCGATTGGCTTATACTGTAGATCCTTCTCTATAGTCAGGGACAAACAGAAATTGCTGTTCCTCAGCTTCATTTACTTCCCTCTGCAAAGATGCAAACCTGATTCTTCGTGAGATTAGACTTAAATGCATGATCTGAAGAGAATACATAAAAGTAGAGCTATCATTTAACTTAAAGACTGACTCCTACAGTTATCTTTTTTTCTTTTGTGGGTGAATTGTATTTATATATAGCCTTTTCCCCCTGCACCACAGCTGAAAATTAAATACTAGCTCAGGGGACCTGTTAACTTTTTCTCTTTTGCCGTTTTTCATCTGCATCATGCAATGCTAAAAAGTAAAGCATGGGTAAAGTTTCTGCTGTATTTCATTTCTGTCCATTATTTGAAGAATAATACTTCAGTTCTTTGAATACAGAAGTCATTAAGTGAAGTTCAATCAATTAATTTCTCCCTTACTCTGACATTAAAAACTGGCTGCCCCTCTGAATACCCATTGAGTATTTTAGCTCATGCCGAAGTAGGTTAACCGGACATTTGTAGATCTCAGTATGCTAGAGTACTTTCTGCAAGAAAGTAATTCTAGCAGTAAATTAGGAGAAAAGTGACAATGTTAATTAGATTTTCTCATGATTACTTGGAGGGTTTGACTTTATCTTCCCTTATTCAAGACAAATTATTCATGCACTAGAATCAACTACATCGACTTACAACCACAATTAAGTCCCAAATCTATGTTGTTAAGTAAAACATTTGTTAAGCGAGTTTTGCCCTATTTTATGACCTTTTTTTGCCACAGTTAAGTTAATCACTGCAGTTGGTTAGTTAGTAATCCAGTTGTTAAATGAATCTGGCTTCCCCATTGACTTTGCTTGTCAGAAGGTTGCAAAAGGGGATCCCATGACTCGGGGACACAGCAATAGTCATAAATATGAACCTGTTGCCAAGCATCTGAATTTTGATCACATGATCATGGAGATGCTGCAAAGGTCGTAACTGTGAAAAATGGTCATAAGTCACATTTTTCAGTGCCACTGTAACTTTGAACGGTCACTAAACAAACTGTTGTAAGTTGAGGACTAACTGTATTTTTCACATATAATGAAGTACTAGGCCAGTGATGGCGAACCTTTTTGTAAAGGCGTGCCAAAATTGTGTGTGTGTGCATGCTATTGCACATGTGCGCATGCCCACACCCACAATTCAACGCGCTCCGCCCACCTGCACAAGCGTGCGCAACCCCCGTGCATGCGTGCACAACTCCCCTCATATGGGGGGTTTGAAAGCTGTCCTTAGCTATCTGTGGTTTGTGAAACTCACATACCATGCACAGATACTGTAGCTAAGGTCAGCTTTCAAAACATCATGAAGCCTTCCAATGGATGCAACAACTTAACACTTCAAGAAGAGGGGCTTTGCTTGCGCTAATATAAAAGGACCTCTT